GTACCCAGAGGGGAGGTTCTGGCTTTGCTGTGAGGAGAGGCACCGAAACCCAAAGCTGCAGCTCCCTCAAGGAGCCTCCTGGACTCAGCAGGATGGTACGGTCCAGCTGCTCGGCCTTTGTTCTCTCACTTAAGGGACCGAAGCCTCCCCCCACCCCCCCCGCTCACATGCACAGTCCCCCTCCACAGCAGAGCCACACACATAAACCGCAAAATCTTCCTAAAACACGCATGTCTGCCGAACATCAAAGTGTCACCGGCAGCCTTTGGGTTTAAGGAAAACACGCAGGGAAAGTAAATAATGCCAAGTAAATGGAGTCATTGTATATCTGAATGATGATGTTTTATTATAGGGATAATATATAATAAATACCATCACACACACAAAAGCAAAGAGCATAGTGGTTAAAGTACAACAAATGGTTTCTGGTTCACAAATATAGGGTCTGTGTCCCTGTATTTAATATGAACTGCTTCCATTTCAGACTTAGAAATGGGGGAAAATTTGTCAGTCATCTTTATTGCTTTGGATTAAAACAAAACATGTAACAAACGGCTAAATGTTATACACTATAATGTAATTCATAATCAAATAGACTGGGAGGCCGCAGCCATTCGGAGCTAGATCCATCACTGAATCAATTTGTGAACAAGTAACACAGTGGAGCAGCACATTCTGCATGCGTGACCTCACAGACTCAGAGACACGGCGGCCCTTAATTGGCCCCATCCACAGCAATGACGGGGCCGATTCATGCCAGGCCACTTTGGGAAAGTTAGCTCAGCCGTGGCCTCGGAACATATCTAGGACTCCTGAGGACACACACAAAAACACACACACACACACACACACACATACACACAGCAACAGCCTTGTTATCATCCATTTTAAATCAAAACACCCGATAGGATCAGTGAGGTGTGCTTGTGCCAGATTACGGCACGCATCTCAGGCACGTCCATCCATTCATCCATCCATCTTTCCTCTTTATCCTCATCAATTGAACCGAACTGAACAAACAAATGCCAGGCAAAAACATTCCATTCTCTCAGGCACATTCCACTTTAATGTCTTCCTGCTTTGATATTGAACCAATCAACTTCAGAATGACTCCATTTATACATAAAACCAAACACACAATTAGCAGATTACATGAAAAATTGGACCTAACGGCTAGCAGCCTAGCAACAGGCCATTCCTACAGAGCACAACCCTGTTTCTCTTATTTCTGCAGTTTGTTTACACGCACTGTTTCTTTGTATTATTTGCACTGTGTTATTGTTGTTGCTTTGTACTGTTGTGTGCTCTTATTCATTTTTTTTCCCTTCTCTTATTTTTTTTTTATTTTTATTTTATTCTTTATTATTGTCCCCCAGTCTTTATTGTTCAGTGTTGTTCAGCTCGGGTTCCTTGTTCAGGCTGTATGCTGCTCCGTAGACGGGCAAAATTTATTACACTTGCGTGAAAGGACAATAAAGGGACTCGACTTCCTAAAAGACAGCCCACAGCGGTGAGGTGTGTCCCGTTTAAACAGCATTGCTTAGGGACTCTCTGTCTGCCTGCGCTGCACTTTTTACACCATCGAAAGTGATTTTTTTCTGCAGTAGGCCACCACAGGACAGACTGGCCCTACTCTAAAATATATACGCTCTACACCTGTGTGTGTGTGTGTGTGTGTGAGTGAGATTATAAATAAATATATATATTATATATATATATATATATATATATAAATAAAATACACACACACACACACCTGTAATATCCATCTATGGCAAATTTACTTTAAAGGAGCATCAACCAAATAATACCGTTCAAAAGCTGAAGCTGGGGGTTAAATGGACACTGAACGGAGCCGGCACACGTGATGCGGCAGTAAGCAGCACCGCGGCCGGCAGGGAGCCCCGCGTGTCGCCGCTGGGAGCCGAAACGGTGGAAAATCACAGACGAGCCCTCCTTCCCACTGCAGGAGGAGCGCCGCCGCGGCGCCCTCCTCTGCACAAGCACTGGCATGAGGACGAGTCGCGGCTGCGGCACAGAGTGGGCGGCGGCCAGGGGGAGACCCTGCAGCTCTCAGCAAGGACCACTGATCACAAAGCTCCCCGAGTAGTATGGGGGACATGGCCAGCCGCCATAACTGATGGACGCTGCCGAGGTGAGTGCGAAGAACCGACGTATTCCTGCTAGACTGAAAAGCCCACGTTAATCAGATAAACAGAGGTGCAGCCACTACACTGAGTTAAATAGAATGCTACAGGCACACCGAGGCTCTACAGTGGGGGCCCTGAAGGGGACACAGTGGGCCTGCTGATGTAAATAGAAGTCTGCAACCCGGTCTCACACCCATGGCTGCCTGGCAGCTCACTGTGACCCTGACTGGTTATTCAAAAAATGGACACACTGATAAGGACTTATGAGATGTAAGAGATACCATATTGAAGCTATGAAACTATATTGGGCAAATGGTTTGGTAATGGATGGTCAACCATCAGATGGTGGCCATTGAAAGGCGCCCGGCATGAAAGCAGTGGAGCCCAGACTGAACGGATGCCATCGGGACAGTGACAGTCTGAAAAGTCCCATATTGTAGACAGTAAATCTGCGATTGCTGACACTGTAGGCTATGACTGAGATGGCGATGGCACTTCTCAGTTGGTCAGCATCGTGCCTTTCCAATAAAATGTATAGCAAACCCCCCCCCAAAAAAAGAAACCTCGCCGGACAGCACTCCGACCGCCTTGGCTGCACCCCCTCCCCCGACACGGACTCTAATGCAAGCTTCCCGATTTAGCTGCGTCCTCTGTGAGCTGCACAGCATATTCCGGACTCTCTAACGTCTAGGAGAAACGTTAATTTCACCTGCATGACTTAGCACATCTATTTTAAAGCAGAAGAGAGGAGCACTATTTTAGGCTGACAGGAGATCCCCACGCCTAAACGCACCCCACCCCACCCAACACCTGAGCATCGCCCAATCTCCCCAACCCCAGCTCCAAGCACACAGCACTTTGCTTAACTGTGGATGTCAGTAGCGATTTGTAGAACGCGCCAACTAAAAAAAAACTGCTAATTTTTCTCTTCAAGGATGATTTAACATCTTCGAGCACCATTTTCAGACTGACTGCACCTAAGACGTTATCCCCTTTACAGCTATTTCATTTTGGCACTTTAAATTTTTCATTTAACAAAAACATCTGTCTTAACTAAAAAAAAAAAAAAGCTGCATCCACAGCCCCAGGTCTGGTATCTTACCAACCTCAGTTGAGATACAGAACCTGGATGTTGGATGCTACCTGGCTAAAAGGCCACATGTGAAGGAGCCACATATGGACTCGAGATCTCCCCGCTTCAGATACCCCGTTTTAATTGCAGACATCGGAAAGCGTGAGCCATAGCAGAGCACAGCTCAGCACTAGCACGAGGCCAAATGTGTCCAGAACCGCTTCCAGCGCATGACTTCTAGGACAAACAAGCAGGGAGCCGAACACGGGTCGGCGACTCTGAGAGTAACTGGACCCACTGGTCCCTTCATCGCTAAGGTCGCATAGCAGCGGAAGGGGTCATTTCTACCCCTGACACTGTCAATAAACTACGCCAATTTCCTCCATGTGTATGAAGCCTCAAAGCAACTTCCCAGTGAATCATCTTAACTTCCCTCTCTGCCACACTGATCTCTGCAGAGGATGCTAAGCTAACCACAATACGGCAACCTCAGAGCCAAGTGGGACCCACTCCAACTCACACCCCAGAAACCAAGCCACAGGGAACGGGACCGTGAGAGAGTTGGAAATGGCTCCACTTAATGGCCATTTCCCACTACAATGTGCACATTCACATATGTATGTCACCTCAGCCTCTCATAAAACTCCATAACACATCCTAACACTGACAGCAAACTATGGACAAAAAGATACTGCCACAGCCCAGTAACTAACACAGTCATCTAGTGCAAGACACCAGGGTATAAATCTTAATCAGACAACAGTATGTGAAAAAATGTTCCCACAGTTTGGCAGCATTTCAGTATCGCATCAGCATTTCACGTTCCTCTACCTCTCCGAAGGAGCGCAAAGTGACCAATATGAAATTAATCATGTTAAAAAAACAATCAATAAGTGTGCAAAACTGAAAGCATATGCAGGGTTGACAGAAAACTTTAAAGTAATGAAGAGGCAAATGTGAGTATTACTCACTGTGTGTGTGTGTGTGTGTGTGTGTGTGTGTGTGTGTGTGTGTATATATATATATATATATATATATATAAGAAACACATTTAATAATAAAATTTGATTATCAGTGAAAGAATGCAACCTTGTAACTGTACCCCATTTTGGGAGGTTCTGCAACAGATCCAAAAGTCAAAAATATAATGTGAAACAATGTGCCAGTTAATCTTGTTACATAAATGGAAAATCATTTCATATCACACAACCATCTGGGAAATAGCCATAAATTACAGAAACAGTTACCATTTCTTAGGTACTACTTGTCTTTAAAGTATCTATCACATAACTATCAACTGTTACCAAAATAATAATTACTGGTTCAAACAGGCATTCCCAAAGAAAATAGGCTTATCCTTTCTTATTTTAAAAATGTGCAGTGTAAATTATGTTGTATTTACAGAACTCATGACTTCAAAGTTTTTGAAGAGATCAAGATAAATTCTCTTACATGACTGTGTGACCTCAATGGATACATGAAATATTAAAAACACCTGTTATGTTTAAAAAATATATATATAAACAGGAATTTAAGTGGAAAATTTCTAGCCAAATAAGGTGGTAAAAATGTTTCATAGTGCACTTACTCCAAAGCCATGTACTGGGTAAGTAGTTGGAATATGGATGGATCACCCTATTAAATTCCCTACCATGTGACAAAGCAGCAATTGTTAACTGCAAAAGACTGAGATGTGTTTGGAAGCTTATCATGCACAGTTAACTTGTAAATTTAGTCACACCATGAAATACCATCAAATCTAAAAGGCTAATAATTACCTGAAGCTCACACCAGGCAACTTCCACCCAGGTGTCGGTGTCTAGTCCTTTGTAGACAGTCTTGAAAGACCCCCTTCCCAGTTCAATGTCAAACTTGAGGAATCTCCCACCGGGGGATGTGGAGACAGCTTTCATTTCGGCCTCCTCCTCGTTCTCGTCACTGGTGGCCTTGCCAGCGCCTTTCCCGTGGTCGGCGGACGCCGCATTGACATCGAGCCGGCCTTTCTCCTTCTCCCCGTCCGCGGCGACGCTCTCCGTGGGGCTGCCTTTCTGTGCGCCCTGGCTCTCGGTGCTGGAGCCCTCTAGCAGGCACCGATCGGCCCCCAGCGTCCTGTCCACAACCGTGCGCAGATTTATGCTGCCTATTTTGCTCCTGCTCTCGCATTCCGGCGCTTCGAAGGCTTGCTCGTCGGAGTCGGAGAACCACAGGGTCCTTCTTATAAACCGCTGGCGCACGATTCTCCGGTAACTGGACGGAGGATAAGCACTAGGGTCGCTTCCCCCCCTCGGCAGCGCCGAAGTATCCATATTATTGACATTGCTGTCACTCGTGGCTTCGTGCACCTTAACGCTCGGCTTGCATCCCGAGCTTGGGCATTCGTGTCCCAGCGGGGGCTCCGAGCTGGATTCGCCCCCCGCTTCCATTTCACCTGAAAATGTTCAATATTTATCAGCGACGACCCAGGGTCGCATCGCCACGCTTGTCTCCCTCCCGGTACCAGCAGCAGCGACGGCCGGCCACAGAGTACCTGCAGATACGCCTACTGACGCAGTTCAGCAACATGGGGCATCACCAGAGCTGCTCCATCGCATCCAGCACGGTCGGCAAGAGGAAGATGCGCTGTGCTCATTTATACTCTTCATGAAAGAAAGACGGGGAAGCCTTAAACGGAGACGGCCATGCTGACGCTTAGGAAGAGCTTTCCTCCCCCTTTAATTCTGCAGATAATCCCCATTCCAGTTCAGCCATAACGAAAACGCACCGATGAATCACCTACGATTTTGCAGCGATGTTCAGTAACTGATCACTTACAATACATCACCTTCCGTAACCGCTAACTAGTTACAACGAGAAAGCCCGATGAAGCTCACAACAGATTGCAAGCAAATTGCCCGTAAGATAAAACGGCTCATTATTAAGTAGTTGGCTCGCCATCTACAAAGCAAGCACACCTAGCTAAATATGATATAGGTACCATCTCTCGGTTCTCCAATCGGCTATAATAGCTAGACTTATGGCTGAATCTTTTCTGCTGGATTCTACATATGTATTTTTTTTCAAAGGCTGGGTACTTACAACACGCGCCAAGATAAAGCGTTAGCCGGTTAAGTGACCCAAAAGAGCAGAAGTGAGCGGCTCCTAGCATTAACGGCTAGCCGCTTGCCATTAGGCAGCTCCTTCCCACTTTCACGATTTAACTGTAGGAGGCTGCGGACGTGCGTTGAAAGAAAAAAAAAAGGCGAAAATCAGTCGTGGATTCCCCTTGACCTTTATACTATAATATTTTAAATAATCCTTGTCATAAAGATGTAAGTCACTCCACTTGCAAGGCGTGTATCGCTTTCAGCTACCTATAGGTAGCCAACGACATAATCCAAAGAAAGAGGCAGAAACAGATTTAATCCCAGCATCTAAACTGCGGTTTTATATTTTCATCCGTAACAAACTACCCATCTGAACAGAAGTGCCACAGAGATCACAGACCCTTTTCCTGTGGAAAATAAGACAATCAATGAGCGCCGCTAGTGTTTCAGATCCACCTCACACACGGTTTCCACTCCCCTAGCAACGACGGCTCGTGCCGTCCAATGCACGCGCTCCTGCTTCCGCCCGCAACGCCTGCTTTATGATAACGGGAGGGGGCATCACGCACACCCTGCCCACCGCACTGTCCACCCAGCCCGGCCCCGACCTGTGCACACGGGAGAATCATATGTCCCGCTTCGTCCGTGCAATTTATAGATTTCCTCCCTCTCGTTTTGGTTTTATTATTTTAGACCACTAAATAAGAGGAATATTGTAGATTATTGAAGAGGGTGGCAACTCTATATTGGGTTAGAAAGTCCATGAAAACTAAAACCATGAAAGTGATCCCCCATAACAGGGGATAATTGCATATGCTGTTCGTACATAGTTCACAAAAAAAGAAACCATGCATGGTTTCTCTCAATACTTTTTGCACAGTATCCCTGAAATGACAACGCGCATTAATAAAGGAAGGAAAACAGTAAAGATAAAGTTAAAACACAGATATTTTTAAGGCAGGGCTAGAGTGCTCACCTGGCGGACCGATGTTATGTGGGCCGGCAAAATTAATCGTGAGGACCTCCCGCTCAGCAAAATCTATCGCTCAACAAAAGTTTAAGGACGTCTTTATTTAATAGGTTATCTAATTATAGAACAGCTAGAATTTAATAGCTAACTGAAAATATCTTTAAATAGTAATATTTACATACTCTACATATTTTATGCATGCAGCATGTAAAATGTGTTTGTCGTCTATCACACAATGATTCGTTATAATCATCCGCTTTCAACGCCGCATATCCAGGTGAGGGCTTCGCTTTCTCGGCATAATTGTTGCTTTTCACAAAACATCTGCTTCGTTATTTATCAATTAGTTTATGAAGTTCATCGATTGCTTTATTTGGTATTGCATGCTGAATTAAAAATACAGCTTGTTAATTTATTCGTTCGATGCTGTTTTTTCAGGGTCAGAGAAAAATTACAAAAATAAAGTCAATGTAACTTTATAATTACGTTATCATTAAACTTTACATATAGGCCTAACTTTATAATTAAATGGACATATAACCGATCTACACAAGAAAATAGAATTTTTAAAATAGAATACAATTTGTCTCAAAATATTTTAAAATAACCAATCCGACAATGATAATTAATGCAAGGATAAATCATTTGTTGAAACGTTTGAATTGTTAATTAGGAATACACATCTTATATATCAATACAAGTATAAATGTTAGCTCGGACTGCACTTACACTTAAATCCAGATTTCTACAGACACCTGTCGTTGATGCAACAGACGGCAGTATGTAGTGTTAAGCTGAGAGTTCTTGGTGAAATCTGCCGGAACTACGCTGTGCTGTCACAGAAGGTTCTATCCTTTTTTTTGGACGTTTATTTACCCCTATAAATTTCTGTCAAAGAAACAGGAAGAACATTAAGAACAGTATCAATAAAGTATGTGCGTGGTGCACTGGTTAGACGTTAGGTAAACTTTCAGGGAGTTTTTATGTGGACTAAATCACTAAATAACGCTCAATGAAAGTGTTAGGGCTGGAAAAGGTAGTAATTAGGCATGGATATTACATGTAATGTACAACACACACACACACACACACATAACCTAAATTAACTTCTTTAATTCTCATACTGGCATTAAAATATTTTGACGGATTTGGAATTTCTGTGTGCATTGTGATATGTTTGTACTATATACAAGACTGTAGTTTAAATAATGAAATTAATACTTAGGGAAAATAGTTCACATGCCCTACTTAAACTTACCCAACTAGAACATAAAATAATCCACTGAATAAGAAATGTTGAATCAATTCACAGTCGCTTTATTGTTATAAGGTTGAAAATGATTACGTAGCTGAAAGAAGACATGGAATTATTGAATTAGCCAATTTATTATGTTTAAGTTAGTATCTGTATTAGGGTTAGTTTATTTATTTATGTATGTATGTATTTATTTATTTATTTATGGCGGGGACTAAATAAATCTGCATAGAGAAATCCAGCCTTCTTAGCAGAGTTAAATTTATCTTAATTTTAGTGGACCAGTAATTTTTAACTTCGTAATAGCCGGCTAATAACTGGCCTAAAAAACAATATACAACATGTCTGACAAACCTTGTTTTAGAAACTATTGCTGAGGGTAGCCGTGGCTGTACCCTTTCTGTGCAATAGGCGGCACTGTACATCTCAGTAACAATGCCATACTATCGGCAATAGTTAAAACAAACTTCTAACATGTCATGATTAGACATTTAAAACATATGATAAAACGTTATATGAGCAAATATATTTAGGTCCTAGTAGTATGCTTTTTTTAAACAAGAGATATTGATGACTAAAATAAATAAAAATAAATACAGCACGAAATAGAGTTAATAATTTGTTCATCATTAAGCGGCTCCTAACTACTAAACTCTAATCTACGAAAACAAGGTAAAGGTAATTGAGTAAGTTGGACTTTATGAATATAACGCAGCTGGTGACGAGTCTCCGCGGAGCGCAGCGCCTAACGCCCCCTAATGGAAGAAGAGGAGTTCAGCGCCATCCTGTCCGCCGGTCTCGCTTGTGAAAACCATCGGGAAAAAAGCCATTTTTGGGAATTGTTCTAGATAAATACACTTAACCAGCTAGGTTGTTTAAAATACTGACGGTGGTTATGTCTGCGGGAAGCATGGAGATGAACGGCGACGCCGATGGAAACGCCGGGGCGGAGGTAAGATGCTGTCGGCACAAAGGCGGGATCTGTATATGGGAAGCTAAGCGGCTAGCAGAGCGTGTAAAGTCTAGCCGGTTATGGGATTAGGTGAATAGAAAGCTCTTCATTACGATTGAGTGATAAGTAAACAACATTATCGGCATGCCGACAGGCTTCCTTTAAATAACGATGCTCTTAGGTCTGTATTAGCGGCTGTTATAGATAGTAACTGCATTCTGCCGCACCGTGCCTGCTTCCTTTATCCAGCCCTTCCCGAGCACTCGCAAACCGATTAGCGTATAACTTTAGGATATTGTCAAGGGGATATACACCGATAACTTACGTGGGTGGTTTTTAACTGCGTGGGCTTTCTTAATTCGCCAACTTAAGATGGATGTTTGTTTGCTTGGTATTAGACACACGTTTTACGTGCAATAATGAGGTACTATAGGTAGAAAAGCCTACAATTAAATACTATGTACCTGGTACAGTTAGATCAGTTTAAAAGCGAGGTTATCTCTGTTATAGCATAGGTTGAACACTAGGGGATCACATGTCATCCTTTTTTGAATGAGATAAAGGATATATATATATATATGCTGAGGGTACCAGGATGCTGGGTTTTATATATATATAAACCCAATGTTTCCCCCCACAGTTAATTTAAAAGATGGCCTTCGGTGTCTCGCTTAATCTTTCGGTCCAGGTCCGTTCTTCGTACCTACTTTCAGGTTGCCATGGATTGCCGTTTCTGGCACCCCCTTCATTCTTTTCTTGTTTTTTTTTCTTTCTTTTTCTTGGGCTTCTGTGCTGCATGAAGTTTGCTTGGAATCCTTTTGGCTGAGTTTATTTGTGGGTGTAAATTGTCACCAGTTTACATGTTTGTTGTGCTATATAGGCTTTGGTGTGAAAAACTTAGGTTTCACTTTCAACTTTCAGTTTCATTATAGGTTGGCAAAAGGTCAGTCCTACTTTTTGTCACCATGAAAAGGAGTAGGCTAGAAATATGAGAAAAATATATATTACTAATATGCACACATCTTACATACATCTATTTATATATCAGTCCACCCATATTGAACTGTAAGTGACATAAGAACATAAGAAATTTACAAACGAGAGGAGGCCATTCGGCCCATCAAGCTCGTTTGGGGAGAACTTAACTAATAGCTCAGAGTTGTTAAAA